TATTTGATTCGTGCATTATCTACAAGTCAGTCGGGCAAGGGTGAAATTATTTCATTTGAAAACAGAAATAAATATCAGAACCCCTCTAGCATAACTATTCGAAAGAAATTCATACAAAAATAAGGTACACAACTGATGAAGGGTCGCACGCAATGCACGCACCCCTCTCCTCCTCCTCCGTGTTTGCCCACACACGACCATATTTGACAATTTTTCAAAGGAAAAAGCGTTTTCCCCGGGAATATAGGTGTGGCAGTTGCCAGAAGTCGCACAGCTTGGGAGTCAGGGTATCCTGATCCATGCCTCAACGCCTGACGGGTCTGATATTTAGAGGAGGCGCAAAATTTTTAGGGGGCGGGGTTAATGTGAAAGTTGCCAAAATATCCATAGGCGTAGCCAGTGGGGGGGGGGGGGGGTTGCGATGGGTGCAATCGCAACCTCCCCCATAACAATAAAAATAAAACCCTGAGAAAGAAGAAGAAAGGAGTTTTAAAATGCTGTTTAGGCCACAATCTTACCCTCTTTTTGGCGATCGCACCCCTTCCCCCCTGACTGAAAGCTGGCTACGCCCTTGATATCTGTTTTTGGTCATCAATAAAACTATATTTATATGGTGAGGATTTATGGGTTTTGATAACAATAGGCTTCATATATGCTTTAATGTTTTATTTACCATGATGCTTTTATGTAGGCTATCAATTACAGTTCTTTTTGCAATATAAAACTGGTATGTTTATGCAAATTTCGATTGGACTAATATAAGGGGGTATTGTTTCATTATGTGGACTTGAGAAAGTCCGACATACTCATTGCTTCCAATCTAAAACTTAAAATAGGAAGTTATCAAGATCCCAAGAACACGATCGCTACTTAAAAAATATGTTTGTAAAATCCCGGCGATCGAAATGCAATTAAACTTTCGCAATCAGGTGCCTAATTAGTCTGTTGATCTCTGAAGTTTTACGACTGAACTTTTTAATGAACTCGTGAGAAGCAAACGCAATCATCACAACATCATATAAACATTTTTCTGGTAAATCTAAAATAGAGTAAAACCCAGGGAAAAAGATCGCGTGGTTATTTGATTATTTCATAGGAATTTGGCATATTTCAATTTTGAAATAACAAAAGTCAGTCTCGGAAGAATTTACCAAGCATTCCCTGCTTCGATGCGTTTTTATTGCAAGCGCCGTTTGCGCCGATATGAATTCATTAGGGCATTAGGGTTGTGCTTTATTTGTTTTATTTATATAAATGTTATGAAATATGTACGACACTTTAATGAATTATTTTTAGGGTTACAATGCATATTTGACTTTTCCCTCTAAAAGATTCATCTTTATACTTTTAGTTTGATTCAATGAAATTAATTCAAAAAAAAATTCCAGACAGTTATCAAATTCTCAGACATTTGATTAATATAGATATTTGTACTTCCTTTGACCAGTGGCTGGTTTGACTGAGATTCGAATCTAATCTGTTTCATTTTTATGTAAATTGAAAGGAATAAAGTTTTATTTTAAGCGTTTTAACAATCTTAACGTTTGGCGTGCAGCTCAACTTAATACACAATCAAAGGACAGAATACAGAAATAAGAACATTCCTTTTATTTGTTATTCAAGCTCGAGCAATATTCCCGTTATAAAACCAAAATACGCACCTTGGTCATCGCAGAAATTGTCTTACAACAAACCTATATGTGCCGCTTGTGTCTGTAGCTTAATAAATAATAAAAAGTACTGAATATAAAATACGATTCTGAATAAAAACTTTAAGAACGTGGTTTGCGTTATTCATTTATTTATTTATAAGAACGCGCTCATCTTTTGAACTTTATAAATGAGAATGGAAATACACCAAGCCAAGTGATGATTAGCTTAATTAGTAGTAGTAATTGTTGTACATGTATTGCTTTCCTGGGTTCTCTAATAATAAAAATATACGTTCCTAAATAAGAAAAATAGAAGAAGAATCTAGATAACAATATCCAATAAAATAATATCAAAATCCGACAATAAGCTTACGCGCCGGCCGTTAAAGTTTCTGAATTTAATAACAAAGTACATGTGACTAATTATATCCATTGATGTTGTAAACTTTACTACATGTAGGTTTAAACAGAAACATTTAAAACTGGTTTGCACTCGACAGAGTTATGTTTTTTGAACGGTGGCTCTACCTCGATGCATCTGTTAATAAATGATACTATAAGCTTTATTGGATCGTGAATTCACCTTTTCATAGATCAGATTCAAATCCCCAAAAAATAAAGCACACAATTTAAGCGTGACAAAAAAGAGCAAAACTGAAAACCCGTTAACCTATAGTGCCCGACATTACGTTACATACCTGTCAAGTCCCGATTTTAATCGGGACTGTCCCGATTTTTTTTGGCCTGTCCCGATTTTTTTAGGCCTGTCCCGATCCCGATTTTGTCCCGATTTTTGGCACATATGTCCCGATTTTGTCCCGATTTGTTTTTTACTTGTTTTCATCGTAAATTTTGTATTGAATTCAATTTGCAACACATTTTTCCCGATTAATTTTTAAACTACTGACAGGTATGCAACTACGAATTCTTCTTCTATTTGAAGAGCTCATTCTGCATCAAAAGAACAAGAGGTTAATATTTTCGTTCTGTATTTTATGTGCTGTACATGGGAAGCAAATGCTATACAAATATGATCTATTCTAACATTAAATGATCAGAATATTAACATTATTTTACTCATTTTCTGTTATTTATTCAGGAATCTTAATATAGGGTATATAAGCGTCTTTGAGAGATAATTTCTACATCAGTGCGTTGTCGAAATTTAGTAGCCCAATGTAGCATACAGCAGCCGAAACTAGCAATTCTTATTTTCCCGCAATTCCCGGGATGGCAGACTTGTAAGGTATAAATATACAGGCCCGTAGCCAGGGGGGGGGGGGAGCTGAGGGAGCGGAAGCTCCCCTCCCCCCCCCCTCAGAAATTCTATCAAAATCATGCAGTTTTTCACAATTTTGAGCACTTTTCGCATGATTTTTAGCCAAAACTGTCAAAAAGCCCCCCACCCCTGGAAAAAAGCTCCCCCTCCTGGTGAAACCTGGCTACGGGTATGATATATACTCGTAAAATGACATAATTTACTTTATAAATAGATTAGTCTGACCATGTAGGTAAAATATTATGATTCAAAGCACTAAAGAAAGTAATGCATTGCAACCGACTTTTTAACATTTTTGGACATGTTTTGGGGAATTATATAGGCCTAGGCCTAGGCCTTCTACTTACTTTACTTACTTATTCCCGAAGTCTTCTGACTCTTCAAATGTTTGCCTGATCTTCAATAACATTAATCTGGGTTTGTAACACAATGTTTTTTGAATTGATCTGACTCAGCACAAATCTTGGAGTTATGGCTTGGAGTTACGGCTACTAGATTCCATTATTAGGTCTAAGGTAGGACTAAGAAGTTACAGTGTGCAGTGTATGTTTGACTCTACCTTTCATTTCATTTCATTTAAACAATGCCCTAGTCAAAGGAGATATTAACACCATCAGGAAACTCCAAACAAAGTGTGAGAAGGCATTTACCATTTCACGGGAAAAGGCAGACATAATTTCTCAGGAGGAGGATGACCTGGCAGCTGTGCTGTGTCCACCCGAAGACATGGAAAAATATGGGTGGCCAGTAAACAGGTAAAATGCCGAGGCAACGGGAACTGTTTGTTTAACAGTGTTTCGATTGCAATGATAGGTGAGAATTTCTTCTAATACATACACACATGTAGATAGAGGCTATGGAAAGGGTTCAGGGCGTGCAACGTTTTAGTGTGGAATGTACTAAAAACCCTACGCCCCTTCGACCCTACGACCCTTCGACTACTGGGTGTCAAAAATTTGTTAGCACTATTTTTTAACCTCGACGGAAGGCTCTCATTATGTTAGGTCTAATTTGATGAGATATTTACTCCACAGATGTTGGCCAACATCTGTGGAGTAAATATCTCATCAAATTAGACCTAACATAATGTGGAAGCATATGATTTAATTGTGCAGCAATCTAACAGCTGAGTCCCCCAAAGGCAATGACGTGGGCTGAGAGCCTTCCGTCGAGGTTAAAAAATAGTGCTAACAAGACAACAGAAAACCCAAAACCCGGACCCAAACAGGATCATAGCCTGGGGGATTGGCATCAATTCCACAAGCGTATCAATAGGCCTACGTCCCGCAACAGCTAGGAATATAGTTCGGAGTAGGGATAGTAGCGGTTACCGTTGGTTATTTGGTTTCCTGTATAAAAAAGCCCTTTCTCCTTTTCTGGCCCGTCGCAGCACCATCAAGTGTTTGATAAAATCCATTGCAAAATTTTTTTGACACCCAGTACTCGAAGGGGCGTAGGGTTCTTAGTACATTCCGATATATATAGATATTTATTTATAAAGTTGGTAAATTTATACAACAGCCTATACAGTCCTGGTTCACAAAGTTTGATTCAAACACTTCTGTCCAGGCCCGTAGCCAAGGGGGGGGGGATTCGATGGGTTGGAGCGAACCCCCCCTGGCAAAAAATTCTTTCAAAATCACGCAGTTTTTCACCATTCTGAGCACTTTTTAAGTGGTTTTGGGCATTTTTGGACCAATATTGTCAAAAGTGAACCCCCTGGAATTTTTCAAAAAGTGAACAATCCTTGGAAAATCCTGGCTACGGGCCTCCTGTCCTAAGGTATATCATTGGAGACCTCCAGAATGACTATGCAGGACATCTAGGGCATCCTGACGGTTGATTGCTTGTAAATCAGTCTCAAGTTCATCAACTGTATAACCTTGAACTTTGGGGTGATCCAAGAGACGTTTGAAATAGCTGTAATCGTTTGGGTATCCAGTTTTTATGTGTGTTCTTTCATCATAATTCAATCCTAATACGTGTTGTAGTAAATAACTACCAATTGTACAGTATTTATTGGCCTAGTTCACACAGGTTCATTCCAACACATTGTCTCCTAAGATATATCATTGGAGACCTCCAGGATTACTATACAGGACATCTAGGGCATCCTGACGGTTGATTGCTTGTAAATCAGCCCCAAGTTCCTCAACTGTATAACCTTGAACTTTGGGGTGATCCAAGAGACGTTTGAAATAGCTGTAATCATTCGGGAATCCAGTTTTTATGTGTGTTCTTTCATCATAATTCAATCCTCTACGTTCAGCGATATTTTCCCAGTTTGAAAGCATTGGTCTATAAGAGTCTAGCAAAACACTAAGTTTATCTTTAGTTGTAGTAGGTAGGTAAATCACTTGGAGAGTATCATCCATGGTTTCAGTTTTAAGTTGTTCTTGTTGTCCATCTGGAACATATAAAAAAATATTTTTATCCAAATTGTCAGAATGTAAACTGAGCCAAAATAACAAAAAAAAACATATTCACAATTTTGTATGAGGGTAAACAACCTCTTTTGATTTTATATAAATTTTATTATTATATAAACATGTGACACTTGATTTTTCAAGTGATATATTTCCTCAAAATGGTATTTGTTTTATCTGTAAAATAAAGTTTACTTTCAGACTTCATATATTGTGATAAGACTAGTTTTCCTTAAGCTTGGTCCATTTATGCAATGTCCCAGTGTTGGCACTTTAATAAAGTGAACAGTGAGATGATGTACTGTAGAATAACTAAAAGTATAGTTTCTATATCGTTGAATAAAGCTGACATAATAGATGTCACACTTGTTTGTCTTTGATTTGGTTGGGCCAGAGTGCCATTGACTTCAATGCCAGAAACTATCTGTTACCACTTAATTTCATGATTTTTCAAAATGTGTTGGTTGAATCTGTCTGAAACTCAAATGGTATACTATTGGATGACCCTGTCTATGTACATATATTGTGATTAAACATGAAAATGTTGCTTGTCATACCAATAAACCAATTTTAGCATTGCATCAATGGGGATTTGGCCCAAATTCTTTTCTAAAAAATGTCACGGAAAATGATTTAAATGACATAACTGTGTAAATCAAAGCTATTATTGGAGAAAACTTGAATTCAAATAGGAATGTACTAAAAACCCTACGCCCCTTCGACCCTACGACCCTTCGACTACTGGGTGTCAAAAAAATTTTGGATATATTTTTGTAAAAACCCTTCGACCTTGGATTGTGTACTTATTCAGAGTATAACCAATAGATCTACATGTACCAAGCAATACATTATACGTACTTGTAATTTTTAAAGTGCTTGTACAACTGATTGACTTTCTAACAAGATTTGATTTGACGCCGTTGATAGCATAATCCACAAAATAGCCGGTCCCTATGCAGCTTGTCCACTGAACGAAACACGACCGTACTACCTGCGAATTTCCCGACCAAAATTTTGTAACCTCAGTTGTTCAAAACGAGGCAGCATCCTGACCTACTTTTACACGATACTGGCGCCATATTTGAAAGTTGAAAATGTTTAAACCATAGCATACCATACCTCGAGCCATATGCATGTCAATGTTTTATTGGAGTATCTCATAGAGGGTTGTAGCAAATATTTCAAATTTATAAAGATGACCTCTCTGTAGTTGTTACATAAATGTGTAATGAGGGAAGTTTTGTTATATATATTTTCTTAAAATGTATATCAATTTGCACATGCATCATCATAAGCTGATTAAACATTCCATTTGAAAGACTGTACATTCCATGACATTTCATCAAATTAGATTTCTTTATACTGAATCACACTATCATCTTTGAATACATGTATGTGCTTATACAGTATCTGAGTATGTAGTTACAGTTATGTCAGTTAGAAAAATGTTAGAGAATTGTAATTATTATTGAAGCCTTTTATGTTTGTCTTCACATGATGAAATACACAATATATTATTTGATTCAGGAGATGACTCATTAAGAACGACACTAAGAGTTCTTGTGGTAATTGAACTATACACAACCCCCTGAGGTATAGTCCTGATCAGCCCCACATTCAGGAGGCGGCCAAGCATCCAGCAATGACAACTAAAGATCCAAATACTTTATTTTCCCTTGTATTACCCTCCGAGGAAAATATCCTTGACTACTACCATGAAACTTTAGATCTTGTTGGGACCATGGGCAAAGTTGCCATAACCACTGCGAATAATGGAAAATGGTCCGGAATGATCCATATTATGGCCATCCCCAACGTAATACATCACAGGCCTGTCAACTGTCCCGCAATTTGCGTATTTGTCACGCATTTGCTGAAGATTTTGAAGTCACGCCAGTTATTTTTGCGTGACAGAAAATGTCACGCAAATACGCATTTTACCTGGTAATTGTAAAGCAAAAATATTTCTGTAGAAAAATTTCTAAAATGATCGTCTACACAGCAAAAATACGAACGTCGGAAAAATTTGAGGTGTTCAAAATTTGGCAAGATGTAATAAAATTTAAACCAAGGTGTTCAAAATTTGGATCAAGGTGTCCAGATTTGGACCAAGGTGTCCACATTTTGAGGGGAGGTGTTCAACATTTCCAAGTCACTCATGTTAGGTGTTCCCAAGTTGACAGGCCTGACATCAGGACTTAGTGTCCATTTCCCCGGAAACTAATGAATCCATGCGCCCATTATATCATGGACGGCAAACAAAATTCTTGTCAAGTCTACATCAAAAAGTGACTACGGAATGCGGCATAGCCATCTCCATTACAAACTGTCCAAAGTAAATGAATCAGAATGAAGGCCTAATGAACGTTAAATCAATCTATTGAAAGCCCATGGTTAAACGATTCGTAAACGATTTAATTTTAGAAAATATCAGAGTAAATGTTTTCATCCCGATCATGCCGATACCGTATTTCAACAAAATGAATACACGTCGATCCTCTTTTTACAAGCCCATTTGAGAATCGGGGGAAGCCTTTCGATTTTAGCCCCATGGGAACTTCTATCATATATACCACAAGATCCCAATCATATCCCAAAACGTATACTTTTCAAAATCAATCGATGCATTATAGTACAAGATCTTCGTCGTCCAAAAGTATCATTTTGTTCGTTGTTCTGCAGAAATCGTGAATCTTTGTATGATGAAACAACATTATATTGCACTAAATTTTAACTGCCCGAGCAAGTTGAAGGGTGGGTATTTCAAGAGAAAATGAGGGTAGACCCCCTCCCCCAAATTATTTGGGGGGGGGGGGGTGGGGGGCCAAAAAGAAACTTTTTTTGTGGCCACTCTTTATGTCCAAATTACTCATAACTATGCCCAAGATGGTCAATTAATATGAAAACACCATTTATTAGGCATTTTGCAGGATATTTTGAATTAATTTGTGATTTTAAGCATTTTACTACCCTCAATTCAATTTTGAGTATATCTAATTTCAAGAATATTGCCTCATAACTTTTGTTGAAGCGCATTAATGGCTATGAAAAAAATTGTCAACCTTGCTCAAGTATCATTTGAGAGAGTCTGAAAGTATGACAGTGATGTGTCCAATTAATATGGAGAGAAAAAATCCCAACCACCCTACCCCTTCTTCAACAGTGTGGTAGGGGTCAATATGAAAAAAAAATTGTGAGTACATTATTTATGCAAATTGTTTTTTATCCTACCTAAGATGGTCAATTAGTATGAAGTTCACTATTTATTAGACATTTTGAAGGATGTTTGGAATTAATTTTTGATTTTAAGCATTTTACTACCCCCAATTCAATTTTGAGTATATCTAATTTGAAGAACATTCCCTCATAACTTTTGTTGTAGTTCATAAATGCCTCTGAAAATACTCCACAACCTTGCTCAAGTATCACTTGGTAGAGCTAGAAAGTATGACAGCGATGTGTTGAATTAATATGGAGAGAAAAAATCCCAACAGGCCCACCACTTCTTCAACAGTGGGGTGGGTGGTCTATATGAAAAAATATTTTGTGAGTTCATTATTTTTGAAAATTATTTTTTATCCTGCTTAAGATGGTCAATTAGTATGAAGTTCACTATATATTAGCCATTTTGCAGGATATTTTTAATTTATTTGTGATTTTAAGCGTTTTACTAACCCCCAATTCAATGTTGTGTTTACCTATAAACAAGAATATTTCCTCATAGCTTATTTTGTATGACATTGATACCAATGGAAAAATTCAACAACATTGCTCATGTATCATTTTATAGATCCAGAGAGTATGGCAGTGATTTGTCAAATAATTGTGAAGAAAAATAATCACAAGAACCTCACCCCTTTTTCAACTGAGGGTAGGGGTCATTTTGAAAAAATATTTTCGAAGTACATAATTTGTGTAAACTCCTTTTTATCATGCCTAGTATGGTAAATTGATTTAAAATTCGCTATTTATTAGCATTTTGCATGATATTTTGAATCAATTTGTGATTTTAAGCCTTTTACTATCCCCCAATTCAATGTTGAGTATACCTAATTTCAAAAGTATTTTCTCATAACTTTTTTCGAATGCATGGACGTCTATGAATAAATTCCACAATATTGCTCAAAAATCATTGGACAAATCCTGAAAGTATGACAAAGATGTGTCTAATCAATAAGAAGAAAAAAATATATAACAACCCCACCGCTTCTTCAACATCGGGGAAGGGGGGAAATATGAAAAAATATTTTGTGAGAATATAATTTGTGCTCACTCTTTTTTAACATGACTAAAATGGTTGATTAACATACAGTTTACTATTTAGTAGACATTTTGCAGGTTATTTTGAATCTATTTGTGATTTTAAGCTTTTTTACTAATCTCCCATCCCATCGTTAATATTATCTTATTCCATAAAATTCCCTCATAGTTTTTTTGTATTGTATTGATGTCATCACTCTTCCTGTAGTTCAGGGAAGCCAATGAAAAAGTTCTCAAATTAAATTACTGGAATATCATTTACTAGATCCCAAAACAGTAGTTTAACTAAATAATATGGATAAAGATCACTCCATCCCCTTCAACCTCTTTTGGAAGGGACTTAATATTGATTCATACAATAAATATATTATCCTTATTATTGCATCAACCATAAGATTTCTATTATTTAATATGTCTATTAGCATTTTGTTCATATAAAAACTGATCCTTGTAGGGGGAAGGAAGGAGAAATGTACAAAAACATGATTTTTGGCTCACACAGTGAGCATATGGGATTTGACTAGTTACCATTTATAGACCATGATCTTCCAAGGTATTTTATGCTCATAGATATGTTATCCTACACGATGGCCAATCATGATATCAGTCTATCTTATGGTGGATTTAAACAATTGATTCATCCTTCTGGCAATTAAATAATATGGTAACAGTATTTTTATGGTAATTATGGTAGACAATGAAACAACAACCTCAAAAGGCCATGTAATGCTACATATTAAGATAAAGGCACAAGCACACTGTTTTACTAGTTAAAACAGTGAGAGGAACAGTACATGCATAATTTAAGATAAATTTATGGCAAATTGCAAATTTCCAGTGTACTAGCATGCAGTTTGCTGTTTATTTTTCATATTAATAGATATTAGTTCTTTCAAATTTGCTAGAATTGATAAACTCGCTAACTCGAATCGATAAAAACAAATGTAAGTTTCTTTAAAATAACTTCTCAATTGTCCCCCATCTCTGTCTCTGAGGGAAACATTAGTTAACCAGTTATTATGAAGTTTTTTCAAGACAGTCAGGGAGAGTTTGTTAGCCCCCCCCCCTCTGCCGCCACCCCCCCCACACACACACACTGAATATTTTTTTATAATTTGAAATTAAAGATTCATAGAAAAATAAAGATTCATAGAAAAACATTATTCCTGATTTTTCTTCACTAAATATCAAAATATCTTAAAATACTGATATAAAATCCTCAAAGTCAGTGTTAACAAAATTTGAAAATGTGTACATGATAGGGTTAAAATATCAATTTTACAAGGTAACAATGAAAAATAAACATCTACAATGATTATTAGATAATAGTAGCAGTTATTTCATGAAAATCTGGGAAAGAGTTTGCTCAGAATATTTACTTTTAGTTTTACCCCCAGGGGCGGGGGTAAAACATAAATTTTGGGACAAAAAGTGACTGAGAAACTTGCTCGGGTGGATTTTTCATTTGAAATCAAAACATACATGAAATATTAATGGCTTAATTTCTGCAATGATTCTAACAAAAAAAGATGAAGATCCTGGACTACCCCCCCCCCCATCTTACTTCTTAGCTGAGTGTGAAAAGAATTTTTTACTTTAATTTTAGAACGGAAAATCCAAAAATGGCCACCTTAAAGTTTACCCAAATGCCCAAAAATCAGTCAATTCTAGATTTTCATACTAAGAACCACCCCTGAAAATGTGAAATTGATCCGCCAAACAGTTAACCAGAAAACGCGTAGACAAGACTTTACAGACAAGATTTTAGGACGGAAAATCCCAAATGGTTGTCTTGACATTTACCAAGAATGCCAAAAAACCAATCAGTTCTAGATTTTCATACTAAGAATCATCCCTAAAAATTTGAACTTGATCTACCAAACGGTTCACCTGAAACGGCGTAGACAATATTTTACAGACAAGATTTTAGGATGGAAAAATCGAAAATGGCCGACAATAAAAAAGTGATTATGAGTTTTTGCTGATTTCTTTTTACAAAATTATCGCATATAAGGGACAATTTACGATAATTGATATTTTAAAAATCTGTTGTTGTACTAGAGACTGCGACATAAATATTGATTTCATGGACATGCAATCTGTTATTTTTTGTTGACGAGACTTTAAGCAATAATAACCACAGGGTACCTGTTTGGAATATTGCTGATCGTTTTAAAAAATATCACTTTAATGATGGATTTTTAGACAATTAAGAAATATTTTATTTTTTCGGCAAATATAAACTCGGATTTCTTAACCTAAAATGTATCGATTGCGTTGATATTTTTGAGCATGTTAATAAAATGTATGTGCTACCAACTCTTGAAAGCGGGATGTTTGATATGTCTTTGTCACATAATTAAGTATGTTTTACTCTATGTATACGATTTGTCAAATATTTGTATCCTCCAACACATCGGCCATATTAATATACACTATTGATGGATTATTTTGGTGAAAGCTATGCCACAAGGTACATTTTGATGACATATCTTCGATTGCAGACAATGATTCAGTGTAGGTATTTCTGTCGTGAATTCAAGTTGTCTTGATGAGGCTGTCCAATATTTTGTATCCTCCAAAATATCATCTTTGGGGAAAAATATTTTTAGATTATTATTTTGAGAAATGAAAGTACTTAATAAAAGTGTTTTGATCATCATAGTTTAATTTCTGAAATATTTGAGTTGTCTTTGTAAAACGTTATCAAGCAAGTTGGAGGATACAAAATGACATTAAAATTATGTGAAATATAAACAATCAAAAGTTAGTTGTATTCATATTTTTATGTTTATATTTAAATTACAGCAAAGAATGAGTCATTGCCAAACCAAGAAACAATATATTTCACTCTCAGGTTCACATGTGATCATGTCAAAACTTTGTTGGAATAGCGATGCATGTAACCTTTACATTTCTATTCAACATGCTATGTATGCTTTCTTTTTATTTCCATGACCGACACATAACTATACAACTTTGAATGATGTTTCTCATTCCCTCATTGCCCACCCTGCGTGTTTTTTCATGATATTATATTTTGAATGCCGTTTGTCGTTCCCTATGATGAATGTTTGGCAGTTACCCGAAATCATAAATGTTGCTTGCATACCTTAGTCATTGTAAGTGCAAGAATACTTTTATATCAATTTCAATGAAAATGATTGCATCCATTGCAATCTTTAATACTTCACATGCAATATGAGCAAGGTGCCCGTAGCCAGCTTTTAGTAAGGGGGGAGGTCCACCCCCCTGCCCACACATAAACATTTTCCATGCTGAAGCAATACCTCGGGTGGGAGACGAAAACAGAGGGTGGGAGACGAAAACAAGGCATCAACATGACAATATGTCACCACCTAGTTGCTCACAATAGTAGTAGTTCAATCTTTAGTCAGATTTGAATAAAAATTGGTCAATTTGAAGCAAGTTGAAAAAAGACCTTTTTGGACCCTGACAAGGTCATTGAAGGTGAAGTCTTACATCTAAAGTCAGATTTAAACTTCTGAGAACTTTTAGATGATTTTGAAAAAAGGAATTAAGCAAGTTGATCATCATAGTTTAATTTTTGAAATATTTGAGTTGTCTTAGGAATATATATTACATTAAAATACCTTAAATTATACAAAAGAGTGGAAATGAATAAATATTTTGCTTTTCAACATTATTTATAATGTATGATGTTATAAAGTAGGCCATGTTATAGTAAAAGGGGTACTCTTGGAATGATTAATGGAGTCTAATATAAATGTATCCTCCAAAACAGATGTATTGTAGAAGTCATGATTATTAGACACCTTTTCTGGAAAAACCATATTAAATGAAGCCACAAACGTTGTCCTATAGTGAGGGCATCAGAGAAGAACTGTACATGTAAAATAGTATGAACACTTAACGTATTTTGCCCATTTCTTAAGTTATCGCTTTTGACAAAGGGGTCGTTCAAAATAATTTGCGGCTAATAATTTCAAACGATAACGTTGACTCTATTAACATTTTTATTTTAACAATTCAATACTAATATCAAAGAAAACATGTTTATTATTTGTTTGACACACACAAATGTGATAAATAATATCTTATTTGAAATTCAACCAGACTTATTGGACGATTAACGAAAATATGTTAATTTTTTATTCCTTTGAAAATTGCTCAGGTTACGAAATGCCAATATAGTTCAAATGATGCCGCTTACGAATTTATAAAATATAATGCGTTTCCTCTACAATTCAAGTAAAATCCATCGTCATATCAATCAATTAATTTTCGAATTTTGTATTTTTTGAAATATCAGTTATCGTAAATTGGCCCATAACTACTGTTAACAATAACATAGGCTTTTACAACAAAGTACACTAAAATTATTTATAAATCTACTAAATAGTTAAAATATGAAAACTCAAAAACACCATTTAAATAGGATACGAAGTATTATCGTGCGCTAACTTTTCCTAAGACATTCAAAATGGCTGCCATGACTGAGCTAAAGGGTCCAAAACCTAATCAGATGTAAAATGAAATGAGCTGAACAAAATGTTAAAGTTTTAAAAGCAACTGTAAAGCCGTTTTTCTTAAAGTTTGCAGACAAGGATTTTAGCATTTAACTTCAAAATGGCCGACAGGAAGTAGGTATCGAGTTAAATTTTTTTCGTCCACATCTGTATTCACTCATAAGTTATCCCTGGACATTTGAAGGTGGTATCTGTAGCGGTTTTGGAACAAACTGCCGGACGTAAAGACGGACGGATAGACGGGCGCGCCTAGGCCAACAATATGGCCCCACACTCTGTGGTGTGGACATAATGAGCGAAACAAATGATAACATATTTGGTATGTCCAGAATGTTTAATTAGATTATTACAATATAGACTAATTAGATTAAGCTAAATATGACTTTTTCCTTTGAACGTGCGTGACAAAAACTGTCCTATCTCAACTTTTTTCCCTTTGAGATTTCGTTCATGAACTTAAGATTCAAATGATATATCACACTCATATATCACATCATTTTTCATCAAAATTGATCTGTTTAGAAAATAAATCATAATACTGATTTAATAAGTTTCCTTAGTCTGGTGCTTACCTTCCCTACTCCTCACACCCGCCATTTTGTGACACTGTTAAAAATGTTGTGAGTTATCACAATATCTTGCAAATTTTAGTCTATATTTAAAGTGTTCTCAAAAGAAACGAAACTAATTTTAAACCAGCACTTCAAACTAGACAAACATTGATATGTCTATAGAAACCTTTGTCCCTGAGTGCTGCATGACGTCCGTTGCGAAATAAATATAATGTAATATATTAGTGTATGCTAATATCGTTATTTCCTTTTGCTAGAGAAACACGAACGCGTCAAGCTTTGAATGAGCTTTTTGATTTTCAACCCTTTCACTTGTTCCGACCTATACAACGAAACATATGTTCATTGATCTACAACGGAGACACTATTTTATGATTATAACCTAAGAAGTGCGTCGGTTCCGTTCGTAGTACGTCCAGCTCGTCGTTAGTACGTTGTCACTCGTTCTAATTGTAGAACGTGACGACCACGAGAAAATTTTGAGCATTGTCTAAGTTCTAGAGGACCCACCCGTTCGAGTACTTTCGATGAAGTTTGTAAATAGATCCCAAACGGTTCTTAGTAGGTCCAGTCCGTTCGTATACAGTTGAAGCCCGTTTTCGAGAACGCAGTGAGAACTAGTTTGGTGTGATAGTAGGGTTAAACAGTTATACAAAGAAAAGACAAGACTGTCACAAAATAACACTTTAACTCGAATTTTATGATTCGATATGATACAAACTACAAATATCTAGTCGTCTAGTAAGTAGATAAATTACACATGTACAGTCATGGAAAAAGATAAATAGCCCATAGAGCAATTGGTATTTTAAAAAATGAATGCGAATGAATGTTTTTCTTCACTGCTTGCTTACGATTAGACCATAATAAAGTGCTTCAAAATATCACCAAGGCTAGTGAATTTATATTTATTTTAAAAACATGCAACAGTGTGGTGAAGTTATTTCTATTGATCATAGGTGTATCTAAAATAGAATATATTCATAATTTCAAACTAAAGTAATGCAGTTGATAACACTCTTCTAAGGTAAATATGAAAAATTATCAATTTTTTCAAATTATACACCCCCAATCATTCTCAGTTCAACTTTGAACAATTTTCAGGGATAGAGTCCACTTTACCTTCGACACGTTGTGCTTTCGTTGTTTTAGCCACTTCGTCCTTGAACTTGGACCGTGGGTCGGTATGAAGACGGACGTCAGAGGAAGCCATTCTATGCTTTGCAAGACACTAGAGGAGAATGTCTGTTATTGTGTAGTATTTAATCTAAAAACATTTGTAAAAGTAAAGTTATGACGCATATATTTTATATCGGGTGTCCCAAAAAGTGAGCCATTTTTGAGAAGTATTTCCTCAACACTGGATTGACAAAATTTGTCAAAAATCCGTACAAATATCAGTAGTGGGGTACAATCAGCAAGTTTTGTTAGTATAAAAGAGATCTGTTAAATATATTTTGAGTACTGACAAATACAAAACTCCATGTCAAAAATCCTGGGTAATGGGGCATTTACCATATGTATGCAACCAGATGTTGATATCTGTTAAGCTGACCGAGTCTTTAAAAACATTGTTGTCCATATTTGAAACTAGTTTTGTCCAAAGTTCCAGTTTAGGAGGATCAATGATGGCTTTGAGTGAGACAGTTTCAGGGAGAAGAAAGGGGATGAAAAGGGATGAAAGAAAAATCATGTAAAAATAACAGACTAATAAATAAAAGTGCACAACATTAAACACATTGGATAATCATTTAATGGGAGGCAATGTCGTTGGAAGAAATGCTCAAAGCATTTATGTTTGGAAAAAATGACTTCATGTAGAGTGAAATAAGTGACTTTTTCATTGATATTGGATATTTTAACATACCATTTTAAATATTAAAAGTCAAGAATAATTTGAAAAAAATATACTCTAAATATTTTGCAGACTTATTGACGATAGTCAAAAGTTACTAAATAAAAAATTTCAAAAAGGGTCATTCATTGCTGAGAAAATACTTGTCAAAAAGCGGGTCACTTTTTGGGACATCCGATATGTGTATACTTTATCTTTAAGTTCTTAACTCAATATCCTGTTAATGAAATACGAAAGATCTTATTTTTGCTTGTCTTAACCGATACCAAATTTTGAGGTTTAAGGTTAGCACACAACTATGAGTGATAATATATAGAGATTTATTTCTTATTCACTATTCGTATTTTCAGAATATTAATGGCAAAAACATTTGTAAATTGGATATTTGTATGCGTTGATTGTATGTTTATGTTTGAAACTTGGGTATTATTTGTTTATTTGTATATTTTTTGTCATTATAAAAGTTTTCTTCATTTCTTATTTGTACCTGTCTTAGTTCGTGATATTAAAAATGCATATGGAAGCGCTCTACAAAATGAGCATATGCTTGATAATAAAATAGGAACAGCTTTCAACATTTTAAATTATTTGACACTTTTTTATTGTCTCGATCCAAACTGGATGAGAAAAATTAGCAAAGTACAATGACGATAATAGTGACAAGGTGACATTATTGAACATGTGAAAAATTAAAATGGAAGTATTTACACTAATGAATAATCGTTGGTTGTAAGGATTCAATACTCACCTCTTTGTTCCAAGTTATCACTACGAGACCAGCAAGAATGTTCATATAAGTATTTGAATATTTTGAGAGACACTTTCCGATCGATGATTGGACAGTTGTAAGCCGTCTTTTGCTGGTCCTTTGAGTTCTTGTAACCAACAGTGATTTATGCGTATAAGTAGTTGTGGATTTTGAAAGTATGCGTATACAGTGTATGTTACACTCGAACCATACAACTACAATTCAATTCGAGGTGTGTATTGACAGATATGGGTTATCTTAAACTTTACTTAAAGAGCGTCATTAAAAAGAAATGCAAATACAAAACAGGCTTAAAATTATTACTAATCATCCAATTTCATAAAATGTGGTCATAATGTAGATTTTACTGTTGATAGATTATTGTGATAATGAATACTGCATCTCAATTCAGGAAGTTCGGTTATTGGATTTAAAATACATTAGGTTAGGATACAGTTTCATTTTCATTTCATTTTAGTTTAATTTGATTTGAGTCGATTATCATTCTAACAGTCAAATAACCTTTAAATTTGAAAACAGTAAAATTGTAATTCAATGTATTTCAGGTACCGGTCGCATTTGATTGAATTCATTATTTTGCTATAGTATATCTTAGATTGCATATTAATGAGATTTGATTGTTTTATTTCTTACGATGGCACTCTATCCACAAATGCCATTTCATGAAAATCTCTAAATGAGAAAGATTAGCAACTTAAAATGAAGATTAAAATAAGAAACCAAGACCACCACTTGCTCTTTCTTTTCTATTCTTAGGCTTTGTGTTGGGGGTTTATAGACCATGTTGAAACCATTCTTAAGTCAATGACAATGTTCTGTTAATCAAAGAAAACTTTAACCATCGTTTGAATAAGCAACTAAAAGCTGACTTTTTTAGTCAAATGAAGGACTTTACTACCTCAAACATAATAACTATAGCATGGAGCCCTACCAAAAAGCAATGTATAATTGTCATGATTGTAAATAAAAGTCCTAGCTCGATGTAATAGACGCTTTTCCATATAGCTTTGAAATCTCGTTAAAGTCTCATTTTAATGAAAACAACTTTGATTTGCACTGTTATTTACCTTTATTCAAATTTCAAGTTTTCTAAAACTGGTCGGGCTAAATCCCCATTGAGACAATGTTGAAATTCCTTTAAAAGTTCATTTACTCTTATAAGGATAACAATTTTAATGTGAAATCACAACCCACATGTCAATAATATCATAGAGCTAAATTCCAATGGTGTTTTAAGTTGATCAAAATTGAATTACTTGTTAAATCAAAAAAAGAAGTGACTCTTGCTATTAAGTTGCCATGTTATTTAGCCCTACCAATACCCATGATGCCATCTAATTTTCAATTTATATGGAAAAGGTTCAATTCTTGACGATGGCGCGCTTATTTTTGGAGGGCAGTAGCCTCACTTATGCGACTTTTTCCATTAAATTACTTTATTTACACTTTGCTTTTATACAGTGTAACTCATTTTCTAAGCCTGGATAATAAATGTAATAACAAATGTGTTACTAGTCATTCCGTACTCTCACCAATGTGTCTTCTCTTCACTACATACTCTCTCCAGTGGGTCTTTTCGTCACTACATACTCTCATTCGTGTGTATTATTATCACTCCATACTCTCACCAGTGTGTCTCTACATCACCCCATACTCTCACAAATGTGTCTTCTTATCACTCCATACGTTCACCAATGTGTCTTTTCATCACTCAATATTCTCGCTAATGTGTATCATCATCGTTATATACTCACACCAATGTATATTATCATCATTACATACTCTCACTAGTATGTGTCCTCATGAATATTTACTCTCACCAATGTGTCTTCTCATGTATGGAGCGACGAGAAGGAGTCACACATGGTTATACTGACTGGTGAGAGGTTGCAGTGATGAGGAGATACACTGGCGAAAGTATTAAGTGATGGGAAGACCCACTTGTGACAGTATGTTTTAATGAGAAGACACATTGTTGAGGGTATGGAGTGATGAGAAGACACATTGGTGAGATTATTATGGTGATGGGAAGACCCACTTGTGACAGTAAGTATTAATGAGAAGACACATTGGTGAGGGTATGGGGTGATGCGAAGACACACTGGTAAGCATATGTAGTGATGAGAAGACACATTGGTGAGAGTGTGGAGTGATGAGGAGACATACTGGTGAGATTATGAAGTGATGAGAAGACATATTGGTGAGAGTGTGGAGTGATGAGGAGACATACTGGTGAGATTATGAAGTGATGAGAAGACACATTGGTGAGAGTGTGGAGTGATGAGGAGACATACTTGTGAGATTATAAAGTGATGAGAAGACACATTGGTGAGAGTGTGGAGTGATGAGGAGACATACTGGTGAGATTATGAAGTGATGAGAAGACACATTGGCGAGAGTGTGGAGT